AAGGCGGCGTGCCTAGATTGTCGCCTTGTGTTCACACATCTAGAAATTCTTCTCCTGTGCATAATTGAGGTTTTGGAGAAGCTGCAACCTGATTCCCTGAAATCACTTTTTATTTTTCCTGTCTGCCACTTCCCAGTTCACCAAAGATTAAAAAAAGGAAGATGGATACAGTGATCCTAAAAGTGTTTTTGAGATTTTATCTGAAAGTTCTGGGAGGTACTTTCATGGGACAAACAAATCATTTCAGGCAAAGTTTGATAGAATCTACTGTCTGGCTTTTAAAATTCATATTTTTTCAAAGCATCAACTAAGTATAGTTTTAAGAGCTAAGGCTATCCGTTTCTTCTTGAATGGGGAGGTGGATTGACCTCACACCCTAGATCTCACCTGAACCAGACACACACACAGCCCTTCATCTCTAGAACAGGTGGGAGTGTGAATGTCACTGAACTATAATTTCTTCCCTTTAGTGCCAAATGTCAAGCTATTGACAAGCCAAAAGTGGCTTCTGTCTTTTGGCCCTTGAGTTGCTAGTGTACATAGGCCAGAATGTTGTTATATATTGTTATATTAGTATTGATAGTAGTATCAATAGCCTACTGATACTAAATTAAAATTTTTACACATCCAATTATTTTTTTTTTAAATCAGCATTTTAGCCATTTAGAGCCTGCCTGCTTTACATGCTCTGTGAAACCTTACCAGCATCTGTTGACCGTTGATAAGATAAGACCCTGTGGTTTTAATATCCCAGGCTGCTACCTCCTTCTGGAGCTCTCTTTGTGTGTTTGTACTTCTCTGCTTCTACCTCACTCTGGCCTCTGGATCCTTTGCGAATATCTCTGTTACACTTCCGTAAGTAGAGGATTGGGTTGGTCCATCCAGTAGACAGAGCTTCACATCCAGACACCTCATCTTCAGGGCTACTGGCTGGCTCTTAGTTGTCTACCTTTGGGTCAGACACCAGGCCCTAGATCAGTCCACAGGTGCCAGGGACTTACTCTGATCACACTGTATAAATGATGAAAATCTTGTGTAAGTCCACACAGAATGGAACTACAAGTGGGACTTGAGCTTGTAGCCTTTTTTTAAAGGAGCATAGAAAGTTCAAGCCTTCATAAGATCTGTCCGGCAAAAACAGATTTTCAAAAAGCTTTTTAATGTATCGTGAATAACCTAAGATCATATAATTAAAGCATCAGCAAATAAAAATATTTGTAAGGGGAGGTGTCTGGGTGGCACAGTCGGTTAGGCATCCGACTCTTGGTTTCAGCTTACTTAAGTCATGATTTCAGGGTCTTGGAATCAAGCCTCACATCAGGTTCCATGTTCATCATGGAGTCTGCTTAAGATTCTCTTCTCTTTCTCTCTCTCTTTTCCCCCCTCCTTCCCTCCCCCCTTCATCCTCTGCCCCTCCTGCTCATGGTGTCTCTCTCTCTCTAAAATAAATAAGTAAAATATTAAAAAAAAAAACTCTCTAAAGGCAACAAAAATGTAGGTTATGAACTCTATACATACCTGGGGAAATTCAAGCATATTTAGTTTATTTGTGGCTTCTCCCATCCTTGATTAGGTCAGGACATAAAATTGAAAGCAAATCATTAGGTACAATAGTAGAGTTGGGCACAACATTAGTTTTCTTATTCTGCTATATTTATAAATATTTATGAGTATGTAAGAACAGACAATGTTAAGCTTCCATACACTACGAGTTTATAAGCATGATAGAGTCATGTACACTAAGATCCTTCGGTATCTTATTCATAGTGTAGCAGACACTAAATAAATGACTGCCTAATTACTTAGCCTTGATGCCAATTGAAAAGAAAGTGCTAGTGGAGGAATCTTTGAGTATAGAGTCAAGGAGAAATAATGCTATTTTGGGGATATTTTGTGTTTTAAGTTTCTCTGGGTGAATATAATGGATTGCTATTTTAGTGTTTTGTATCATTTTCTTCTCTTTGTTTCCATTCACACTGTGTTAGCTATACCTCTCACTCGTACAAACATAGGCATTCAGGAAAATACAAATCTTTCTTATGCTTTCAGAGTTTTTTTGTTTTTTGCTTTTTTCACACAAGGGTTTCACAACTGTGTTTGAAGTCCTAATCAACCTCTAGTTGTTTAGGGCTATTTTAATCCTTCTACTTGGGATGTCAGGCTCTACAACTCTAATTAAATTGATGAAATACTACAAAACAAAATTAAGGAGCATGTGAAGATGAAGATTAATCCTATCCGTGGACTTCTTTGTTAGTAGTTGAACTTTGAAAGTGACCTTTGTAGCCTGTCAGCTCATAAGCACACTGAGTCTAAAGACATTAAATACCTCATCCACATGGTCCCTTAGCTGGCTAGTGGCTTAATACTGTAAAATCAGAAGCTAGTACCATTTCAGTGTTTTCAGGTATTTGTAAAGTCATAAATCTTAGTTACAAAGCTGAGCTTACATATAACTTGTGAGTTCATTCTCACTGTTACTCTACACACACATACACATTACGTCTTCTGTTTGGCTTGAACTTGGTAAATCATTTCCAGAGGTCATCGACCACTGGAATCAGTTAACAACATGGCTGTTCTTTTGACAAGTTCCTGGAGAAACCACTCTTTATGCTCCATTCAAGGTATTTTGACCACATGGTTTTCTTTTTCTTTTCTCTCTCTAACCCCTAGAAATATCATGGGATGAGGAACCCATTTTGTGAAATGTGCCACAGCAACTTTTAAAATGTAGGAAGCCAAGCAATTAGTGCCAGATTTTCCCTTGGGGAAAAAAAGGTGAAAAAAGTTAATATATACTACAGAGGCAACTCAAGGAAGTTCTGTACTAGTAGTACATGGTATAAATGATAATGTTTTATAAAGCAGCAGTCTTCTGTGGGAGAGATTTATGCCATCTTTGAGTCATTAATAGTATATGACACTGGTTTCCACTCAGACTGAGGGCTAAAACACATCATCATAAAATTTTATTGTTATTGTTCTTGTGTCAGGTATATTTCAAAAGCTTTTGAATTTATAAAGTGTCTTTGGAAATTTACAGGAATGAAGTTTACCAAATGTAGTCCATTAACAGGAAAACCAAATCAAACTCAGATGTAATCTCAAGGTGTTTTTGTGGATTTCCTATCCCTAGTCTTTTCACAAGCTCATCAGTTTCTTTTTCTGTGATGTGAATTTAATTGGTTTCAGCATAGGTTCAAATTCAATAAACATGTGATTACCCACCATGTGGAAGCAGTACACTAAGTGCAGTCATAGGCTATGTTCATGTAATCCTTACATACACCCCGTGAGGAATTACCCCATTTTTTTCAGATAAAGAAAATCTCGTAAAAACTATGACTCATCCGTGATATGTGACTAATCAGGGGTATTATAGGAGTTATAAGTCAGGTTATTTTATCCTTAAATCTATTATACTTTCCAATAAAATTATAAAGAGAAAATCTTGAAAATACTATCTTGTCCACGTTCTGTGGACTGGGGGGAAGATCAACAATCTGATTCATCAAAGGAAGATTCTGTTGCTGACTCATTAAAGGAAGATGATGCAACATGTTGGTTAATGCCATGGCTTTGGAGTCAGGCCAACACAGGGATGAACCCTGGCTCTTCAGCTGTGAAGAAATGGCAGGACCCTCACTAAAGTTCCTTGGGTTTTAACTTCCAAGCCTCAGTTTCTTTATCTACCAAACAATAGTAATACAACATTTCATAGAGTTGTAATGAGAATTGAGTATGATACTGAATGTAGAGCATGTAGCAGGGTACCCAGAAAATTGTACAGATTTTTGTAGTTATTATTCATAGTAATAGTGAAGATAATATTCAAACTGGCTAAAGAAAGATGTTTATTATTGTGTTCAGGGACATATGAAGATTTAAGAAAATTATATTGATCTCACTGAAGATTTTTAGAAATAAACAACCCTTGTATTTGTAACTTTAACTGATGCTTTTTTAAGGTATTTTAAAATATGGAGCCAGATTAGGACATTTTCAGATTATGCTCATATTTTGGTGACGTTGCTAATGGATTGGGAATAGCAGCATGAATGAGACATGTGAAGAGTCTCCTGCCCTCTTTAAAAAAGGGATACAAAAATAATTATATTCTTTGAGTCATAAAAAAAATTCAACAACTCTTATACAGTGAATATACAACTATTTTGACAGGCTCTTAGAACAATTTCTCCCCTTAACAATCGTTCACTTTCTACTAGAGTTAATGTTTTAGCACAAAAAGTCAGAACTTTATCTGTAAGCCAAGAGAAATTAATTTGGTTTTCATTATATATAAATTTTGTTAAAATTAATTGAAAATAAAAAAAATTAAAAAAATTAAAAAAAGAAAATAATTGAAAATAACTTATACAATTAATGGCAGAGAAGTTTGGCCTTTAAAAACCTTCCTGGTACAAGGAGCCTAGAATGGAAGTATACGGGATCAGCTTCACATATATACACATGTATACAATTCAGGATTGATTATATTAAAACAAGCTGAAGTTTCCCCAAATTTAGATATAATCATAGAGTTTTACTTAAGTCCTCTACGCTTCTCCACGTAGACTTGGTCAAAATACATCAAAGTGTTTAAAGTGATAACCCTGAATATTTGTATATTATGAGGTTGACAAAATACAAAGAACCTTGTGAAAAAACCAGTACCTTAAATATAGACTCTTTGCAGATAGTTCATCCTTTTTAGAATAAGCTAAATATCTGTTACTGGGAACTGACTTGAAAATAGTATGTGCTCTTTTAAACAAGAAATCTCCATTTGTAAATATAAAGGGGCAACCTGTGTGTGTGTGTGTGGGCACACGTGTGTGCCAGTTTATTCATATCATTGTCACCTTTTTAATTAATCATCCTTTTAACTAAGCAGTGAATTTTAAGGCTTTAACCTTTAGGTCTTCACTATATGATCTGTTTTGTAGCAAAAACCTCTTAAATTCAAATTATAATCCTGTTTTCATTTCTTTTCTCAGATGATGAAACATGCTTGGAATAATTATAAGCGTTATGCCTGGGGATTAAATGAACTGAAACCTATATCAAAAGAAGGCCATTCTAGCAGTTTGTTTGGTGAGTAGAATGTGCTTTGGTTTCTTAGTGACAGTAATTTTTCTCCAGTTGACAGAACCTGTGAGAGGTGATGTTTGAGTGCCCCTCCAGTCCATGTAGGAAACTTGCATACCTGATGGAAGTTATCTGCGAGGACTGTGCATAGTATGTCCTTCAGACTGAGCACCGTATGTTAGAATCACTTACCTACCTTGAAAAAGTGATGCCTGAGGCACACTTCCAAAGATTCTCATTTAATGGACATAGGTTCAGCATCATGATTTTTAGCTCCTGGGGTGATACCCAGCAGAGGAGCATTTGGTCCACTGCATTAACTGCTTCCTATCAGGTAAAAGTTGTGTCTTTATTGATAAGCTGGCCAAGGCAGCCTGCCATGGTGATCTTCACTGTATCTTGGTGACTCCCAACAGTAGCTCTGGGTTTCTCCTGTTTATGCCATGGAAGAGAAAGTGCAAATAGATTACATCAGTTATTTGAACTTTTCATTTGTCTACTTTGGCATGCTTTATTGCATTTGGTCCTCCCAGCATCCCTTGGTGATTGGTACTGTGGATGTTAATAACATTCTCATTGTGGAGGTGAGGAAGCTAGGTAACAGAAAAGTTGGATTCCTTGGGTCACAGAGGTACCCAGTGCCCTTCTCATTGCACTGGATTCTTCTTTAACCCTACACAATTTTGCCCATAAGTCCCAGGATGAAGGGAATAGAGTCTTATTCTGACACTTCTTAATTCCCCATAGAAAATGTGACTTTTTATACTGTAACTGAAGGTGTTAAATAGTATCAGATCATACAACAAGCAACAGTGTCAACTGACACTCATGACATGCCAAGTGCCATTTTTCCGACATCTCACTTAACCTCATTATCATAGGCATTTTATAGATGAGAAAAAGGCAGCTCAGAACAGCTTGCCACATATTAGCCACGTACTAACTAGCCATACTGGGGCTAGACCCAGGTGTGGTTAAGGTCAGAGTCCGTGGTCCTAATCACCACACTGTGCTTCTCTCCATTTATTCAGGATCTTCCGTGTGGTGGGCTCTCCTTCTAGCACTGGTTTAATCACCGCAGTACAAGTCTTTGCAGAATTCCTGGCCTCGTACAGAAGACTTGCGTGTAAATAGTTGTCAAATCATTAGAGGGTTCAGGAGATATTCATCTGAAGTTCAGATATTCCTATGAAGCAGGAACTCAGGTAGGGAGAAGGGAATTGTGAGAGCAGTGAGGGAGAGCTGGAAGAGGGGCAGAAAGGCTGGTTGGCCTATTACAGTGAAACAGTTTAGAGATGAAGAGAGCCCAACAAATTTGGAGTAGTGGCAGTAGAAGCGATTTCAGGTGTTTTTATAAGTAGTGCTTTCACGACACAGTTATCAGCAGGGATGATGAATTGCAGGAATTGAAGACAAATTCAGAAACTTCATGCTGACTCAGAGGACTTTATTTTTTTCGTTGTTTACTATGACTTTTAACATCTAGTTCTGTTTTTGTTTTTATCCCTATGAAAGTTGCTCACATCATTGATAAATCAGTTTTGTGTAAATTTGTCATAATGTTTATCGAAGAGATTATTTGGTTCTCTGTTAATACAGTGATGATTTATTTTAAATTATTATGAAGCATTGAAACCTAATAAGTCTCTTAATATGGAATGTGCAGATGAAGAAGACAGGACTTCTCAATGAGTGAAAATATCAGTGAGGGTGACAAAACATGAGAGATCTAGCTCTGGGAAATGAACAAGGGGTAGTGGAAGGGGAGGTGGGCGGGGGGTTGGGGTGACTGGGTGATGGGCACTGAGGGGGGCACTTGGGATGGGCACTGGGTGTTGTGCTATATGTTGGCAAATTGAACTCCAATTAAAAAAAAAAAAGACATGACTTCTCCATTCTGAGGAAGTTTATAGACCAAAAGAGATATACACAAATAATTATAAATGGAAGGCAGAAAGTGATGAGTGCAAGACCAACATAAAGCCTTCATGTCAAGGGAGTTCAGAGGAAATGAATCATCGAGTCGAGATGGGCTGGGTGGGTGGGAGGGGAGGTTAGGATCAGTCAGGCCTTCAAAGAGGGGGTGAAATTCCATTTTTGAATAATCACTTATTAGAGCTATCATAATTTTAGATTTAATTATATTTAAAACTTTTGCACAGGTGTACTTTTATGTGATTACATTAAAATTAATATGTGTGTTGCTCCTCTGTTTCGGATCTACTTTTTTCTTGCTAGAGAATGGAGTCACAAATGAAATTCTAAGAGATTATTTTCTACAACTCAGAAGAAACTTTAAAGATTAGTGTATCAATCCATACCCTGTTATAATGATTAGTTGGGTTTTAATGCAGCTTTAAAATTTTCTTTTGTGATAGGAATTTTAGATTGTGTTCAGTATTACCTTTTATTAATAAATTCAGTATTATCCTCTCCCTCTCCAGGTTTGGTCAATTTGCTTGTATGTATCTGTCAAATATTTTAATAGTTATTTTTCTGATATTTTTCAGGTAGTATTAAAGGAGCAACAATAGTAGATGCCCTGGATACTCTTTTTATAATGGAAATGAAAGATGAATTTGAAGAGGCAAAATCATGGGTTGAAGAAAATCTAGATTTTAATGTGGTGAGTTAAACAAAAGTTGTCAATTCAGTTCTTAAATCTCAGTTTAACATGGACAAATTCTGTTGTGGGGCAAATTATGGTGTTATATGACCTAGCGGAAACAATGCAATTTTAAATAGTACCATACTATATTCTTGCCCTCCGTTACTACACAAGTACATGTCTTTGTTTTTTGGCAAATTAAAATGTAAAGAAAAGGAAATGAAAATTTATGGAGACCTACATGTGCCAAACATTCATGTTCAAGTCCCACAACCATCCTGTGAGATGGGCATTATTTTCATACCTGTACAGTTTAGAAATTAGAACTTTAGAGACTCATCCAGATCACAGCTAGTTGCGTGTCAGAGCCTCAGTGAGGCCAACACAGATCTGTGTGGCTCCGTGCTTGTGTTTGGCACTGGGGCAATTTCACTACATACAGATGCAGTCTGCCTTTTATTCCATATAACCATCCTGCTTTCCTATATCTACGCTATTCAGTCGGTTCCTGTGTCAATTCTTACATACATGTGGAGCAAAAAAGATAAAAGAATGTACTGCTTTGTATTCTTAATGGGGTGATGTTGATACATCAGCGGACCTGGGGTGCATAACCTTCTTTCATTAAACCTTCGTAGTCCGTCTGGCAGAGGATCATGTTATTCTTTGGGAAAAATTTGTCTCCAACACAAAATCTTTGATTACAAAGCTGACATGCAAAGCAGTCCAGGTGGTAAACATTGTCCTTGGCGCACATCACCATCTCAAAGGCCCTGGCACATTGTTTTGATTTTGTTAAATTAACTTTTGTTAATCAGAGCACAGGGTGCCAGATGAGTGAGCTCTGCAGTTCAACAAAGACCACAAGAGAAATTAAAACAGAGAAGTTTATTACTCACAGGTCCTGAGGAGGTGCACAGCAGGCCTCTAGGGGCCACAACGGGGAGGTCAAAGCAGAGGACAGATAGACAGGACCTGGGGCACATGCCTTTTTTAGAGTGGGTATAGTCCTTTGGGGTCCTAGGCTAAAGCCAATTTGGTCAATGCAAACCAAAAAAGAGCTAGGGTTTGGTAAGCTCCGCAAACAAAAAAAAAGGCGTCTTTTCTGAGGAGTGCAGAAGGGGATGGCCCTGGGAGCTGAGGGAGACTGTTGATCACAAGGACGACTGGGGGAGTCATATCAGGAACTTGCATTTGCTTGTGCCTCTGCGGGCTGTTATCCAGGGCATGCGCTTGCATGAGAGTCTGGCATTGCTTGAGGTCCCCCACAGGCCGCCTGAACGCTGAGGCAGCAATACCATAGAGATGCTCGGCTAAACTCTCAACGTACATCCAACAGCAGCTCTGTCTCCTCTTGCACAAGTACGGTTTCCAGCTTTGTTCGTTGTATGCCCTTATCTGAATAAAGTTTTGTCAATATGAATTTGAAGTCCTTTAAAAAATCTTGTATGCATACTCTCATTCTTAACAAATACTTCGAAACCCATTATACACCAAGGAAAAAGTTCAGAATTAAGGAGAATGGACACTTCCAGTCCTTCTTGATAATTTTTATTTGGGAGGACACCACCATGTCAGAGCTAATCTCATTCCATAGTCACTGTTTTACCTCACATAATGAGGTTGACAAAACATTTGTTTTAAGAGGAGTGTTGGCCCAGCTTTTTTTAGTCATTCACTCGTTTGGCATTATTGGTATTATTTTTAATCTGAGATTGTTCTGCAGAAAGCATAGCAAACCTCTTGTCCATCTGGTATTCATACAACAATTATCTGTAAATCCCCATAACCAGGCCCAAGCAACATGCTCTGTGTTGACAATGGGCAAAGAAAGATTGTTTCCCTGTCAACATCTCCACTTTGTGGAGCTCTTATTCTCCCACAGACCCAGTGAGGATACCAATGGCAGAGTGTTAAAGATTAGTAAAACTAAATCTTTTTCCTAACTCTGCATTAAAAACCTATGTAAATTAAAACTTCAAATATTTTGTCCCAACCCTCTTATTAATTGCCTTATATGCCCCATTTTGGAGATCACTGCCTTAAAGAACAATTAGATAAGTCTATGTTTAATCTGCCTTATAATTGAATTGAGAATATAAAGAAGATATATGCCAATATAAAGGGACCTTGGAGATCAATGTGTTCAGCTCTTTCATTTTAAAAATGAGAAAACAGACCCAGGGAGCTGGTGATTTGCTCAAGGTTCTACAGCTATTTGATTGGAATGGTGGTAGCTCTAATATTATTAATGGAGTATGAAAAATTAAAGCAGTGAAAAAGGAAATTCTGTTTCTTTTTGAGGGTTTGTTGTCTCCTACTAGCATTACTGTCCCACCTTGTTATTTATAAATTCAGCTACCCACCTTTAAATAGGGCTTGTCTTGAGCTATCTATGGGAGAGAAAATGGATAGTGTGTTCCCTTCCTGCAACCCTCTCAAGAAAGGTTCGGAGAATAGGAACTGAATCCTTCCAAAATCAAGTATTGTTTTTTCCTACTGTTACCCAGTATTTTTTTCTTTGTTTATTTCTGTAATTGAAGTACAATTAACATAGTTAGTTTTGGGTATACAACATAGTGATTCAACAATTCTATATATTATTCAGTGCTCATCAAGATAAAAATACTCTTAATCCCCTTTACTATTTCACACACACACACAGACCCTTGTGTTAACACCAGTTCCCTGTATTTAAGAATCTAGTTTAGGGGGATTTTTCCTCTCAGTTTCTTTTTTGTTTTGTTTCTAAAATTTCCATATATGAGTGAGATCATACGGTATTTGTCCTCCTCTGACTAATTTATTTCACTTAGCATTTTACTCTCTAGGTCCATCCATATTGTTGCAAATGGCGAGATTTCATTTTTTCATGGCTGAGTCATATTCCAAATATATATCTCACATCTTCATCCATTCATCTGTTGATGGACACTTGGGTTGTTTCCCTATCTTCGATATTGTAAATCATGCTACAATAAATATAAGGGTACATGTATCTTTTCAAATCAGTGTTACCATTTTCTTTGGATAAATACCCAGGAGTGGAATTATTGGATCAAATGGTATTTCTCTTTTTAAGTTTTAGAGGAAGCTTCCTACTATTTTCCACTGTAGCTGCATCAATTTGGATTCCCACAAGTGTTCCCTATTCTCCACATCTTTGCCACCACCTGTTATTTCTTGTGTATTGTGACATTCTGACAGGTGTAAGGTGATATCCCACGTGATTTTAATTTGCATTTCCCTGATGATCAGTGATGTTGAACATCTTTTCATGTGTCTGTTGGTCAGCTGTATGTTTTCTTTGGAAAAATGTCTATTCAGGTCCTCTGCCCATTTTTTAATCAGATTTCTTTTTTGGTCTTAAATGCTAAAATTTTTTGTATATTTTGGATGGTAACCCCTCATCAGAAATATCAATTGCAAATGTCTTTTCCCATTCAGTAGATTGCTTTTTTGTTTTGTTGATGGTTCCTTTGCTGTGCAAAAGCTTTTTACTTTGTATAGTCCTAATCCTTTCACTTTGCTTTTGTTTCCTTCTCCTGAGGGAATGTTTCTACCAGGTCAAGGAAATTACTCCCTGTGTTTTCTTCTAGGAATTTTTTGGTTTCAGATCTCACATTTAGGTCTTTAATCCAGTTTAAGTTTATTTTTGTGTATGGTCCAAGAATGTGGTCTAGTTTGATTCTTTTGGATGTGCCTGTCCACTTTTCCCAACACCAGGTGTTGAAGAGGCTGTCTTTTCCCCATTGTATATTCTTGCCTTGTCATAGATTAATTGCCCAAATAAGTGTGTGTTTATTTCTGGATTCTCCATTCTGTTCTATTGATCTACATGTCTGTTTCTGTGCCAGTACCAGACTGTTTTGACTACTACAGCTTTGTGTAGTATATCTTGAAATCTGGAATTGTGATGCCACCAGCTTTGTTGTTTTTCAAGATTACTTTGGCTATTTGGGGGCCTTTGTGTTTTCATACAAATTTTAGGATTATTTGTGCTAGTTCTGTGAAAAATGATGATATTTTGATAGAGATTGCATTAAATCTATAGATTGTTTTGGGTAGTATGGATATTTTAGCAGTATTGGCTCTTCTAATCCATGAGCATGGAATATTGTTCCATTTGTTTGTGTCACCTTTAGTTTCTTTCATCATTGTTTTAGTTTTCAGAGTACTCCTCCTTGGTTAGGTTTATTCCTAGGCATTTTATTATTTTTGGTGCTGCTCTAAGTGGGATTGTTTTCTTAATTTCTCTTTCTGCTGCTGCTTTGTTAATGTATAGAATTACAGCAGATTTCTGTATATTAATTTGTATCCTACATCTTTACTGAACTCATTTATCTAAAATTGAATGATTGAAGACAGGAAAGTAGATGTTAGTGCTACTAGACCTGAATAGTATCTGATAATTAAAGAATTGCTTCCCTAGACCTTCCCAAATAATGCCACAATTCTTTGCTTTCATGACTGGCAGTAGTCTGAGAAACCTAAGAATCATTTATTTAAAAGAACAAAGGCCTCTCAAGCTAACAGACAAGATAACAGAAAGCAGTTGGCTGACCTCAGACCACTACCAGGTGACATGAATGTGTTCTATGGACCGTGGGGACTGTGCGGAAGCAAAGGGAAGGAATCTAATAGGGGGTATCAGACTGTGGAGAAGAGCCAAATTTTTTGTTTCCTTACTTGTAACATAAAGCAATTGGACTATTGTTAAGTGATTGCTAAGCTACTGACCTATAATGTTTTTTTTTAAATTGTATTTTTGTTTTTTAATAAGATTTTATCCTATTAATTGACAGACTTGTGAAAAGTAAGTACCATGTATGTTAGAACTGTTATTGATAATCTTGGTCTGTATCTTTCAAAATATACTTTAAAAATCATAGCCATGGGTCTCAAATTTCTGTTGATTATACTATTGTGAATGTGAGAGGTTTTCAAACGTTTGTTATAGTTGTCTCTTTGGGCATTGTCATATTTTCCTTTAAAAGAAAGTTTATCCAAAAAAAAGT